GTCGGAACTAAAGACTTTATAAGGCCACATACCGACTAGTAAATTCTAATAGAAGTAGTAGGCGTAGTCGTAAACATATGTACAAATAGAGCGTGAGTTCGGACTAATTCGCAAGTGCAGGTTTTCATGTAATTCTGTATAAATTGAATAACTGTCCTTAAGTTTTTCACTCAGCAACAAGTTTAAGCATGGTCAAAGGTGCTGCAACAGCAGGTGACCGATTGCATCTGCAAGTTTTCGCTGAAAGCGAGGTGCTCACAGTCGACCTCCAGCGGTTTGGTAGCACCCATTTAGCTTCTTGCACTCCGTAGCCTTCAACGCGAAACTCAGTCATGGCTCGGCGCAGCCGACTAACAGACTGAATCGGTATGCCCATTCGTATTACCTTTAAGCCAAATGTGTTTTGCTGCGCTTTCAGCAGTCAGCCAAGTCGTAGCTCAACATAACAGCTGAGCACTGTCTCTAATCTGCATTAACGATTTGGTGCGTAGCCAGAAACGCACTACGGTAGACATGGTTGCAGTTCCAGAAGAAAACAAACGTGGCGTCTGCGATTTTATGGAGCGTGGGACTTCCACTGACACCATAACAACACAGGTTCAGGTGGTGCGGCGTTTCACCAGAACAGTTTTTAAAAATTTGGCACCGTGCGTGGACTATCGACATTGGTTTCAGTGACTACAATAAAGCAGCAAATGAATTCAAAATGCCAAGATCTGTGAACATGTCTGGTTAATTTGCTCGGGCAGGTAAATATTGCCAGGCAAAGCAGAAATTTGTGTTTCCCATCAGGTGCACGATTTCGCCATTAAATTAGATAGCATTCGCAAATTTTCTCCCAATTGTGCTTTCCTTAAGTTGTAATAAATCTACTGTCCGTCAGAGACCGTACTGATTTTCCTTGAAAGGAGCATCGTAATCCGCAGCGCATCGGCCTTTAAATTTCGTGAAACACTATTTGTTCCATAGTCCCTTAAATTTCGCGAATCCTGGATTGAGGCGCCAATTACATCGCCAACGTTCCGTTACCAGTTGACAGGCAGGAATATTTTCTTAAACCTGCTTCTGTTGCAGACCTATTTTCAATAGATGTGTATATCGTTTCGTCCCATTTATCGTTTTCAAAAATGTTTCAATATTATACAAAAAATTTGTGCTATCGGGTTATAATTACGGTTAATTAAGACATCAGATCATACGGTTGTAGGCCAATTGAATTAAAACTGTCACAGGATCTCTAATCGGACATGAATGGAGGTTCAGATTGACAAAGTTGAGAGGTCCAAATTGACGAATTAGAGAGAAGAATGTGGTCATCTGGAGGGGTTTTATTTAGGTGCTGAACATTTTAAGAAATTGGTCGGCAAACCACTGTCAATGCGTAAAAATCTCTTCATAGTCCACAAATTTCAAGTGGCACGTCGCGTTGATTGTCTCCATGCGGACCAATTTTCTTTCTTTTCACTGCTGCAGACTCTCGGGGTATGGTTGGTGGCCATTTTATTTGCGTGCCTTCTGAGACACCACTTCGTCGGAGGAAGTGGTTTAACCCTCATTGATTGATCGGTGAGGTGGGTTTTCTTCTTCCCTGCCGAACAAACCGGCAGTTGGTCTGTCTGCGTATGGCCTTATTGAGTTCACGGTGGTTACTTGGTGTTGGGATCTACGGACGAGGCAACGTAGGACTCTGTATGCTACAGGAAGGTTTAGATGCCCGCAATGGAGTTGGCATCGGAGTGCCACGCCTCGAGGTTTAGACGGCCTGCTTTTCTGTAGACGAGGCCTAAGATAGTAGCTCTTTGGAGATCGAAATTATGCTCAGTTCCTCCAGAGCGCGTTGCTAATGGGGAGTTTGGATCTGGCCTACAATTCGCTAATTTGTGCTGTTGTAGGCTGGTCTCTAATTTTCGCCCGGTTACCTGAACACATTTTCAGTCGCCCTCATTGCAACTTATTTTGCAGACAACTACATAGATTTCGGAGGATTGCAGTACAATCTAAGGACATACTGCTGCCCAAAAGCTTTAGTTAATCGACATTTTCAATATTTTAATTTAAAATGCATTGGTAAAGTAGATTTGTGGACTGCGTTAATGGTACGTATCTGCAAGCTGGGCTAGATGACGCCACTAGCACTAGCCACTGTTTTTTCATTACGTCGCCGACATCGTCAGATGATGCCGATGTGCGTACGTTTTTACCCGCCAATGTAAACCAGAATGTGATATAGTGACACAGAAATTGGGTAACGAAAGTATCCGAACGGCAGAGATCAAACAAGACACTGGATTTATTAGGAGTGAAAACAGTCGGCCCGTTTGATTCCCTCATACCAGAATGAGAAAATTATAACAGTATTTTTACACCACAGAAACCGAGGACGACGTGCTGGCAGGTCGATGGTCAATACCCTTTGAGTGAATACCCGTATTGTCGTAGAAAATGTTGGAACTTAAAGATACGTGTATCTGCTCTTGTCTTTGATGATGGGTTTGAGCAGGAATCCCAAACGTCAGGCTAATAAAAGCTCTTTTCCCAACGATCGTAACTTCTTCTTCTTCGTCTTCAAGACTACTTCCTGAGACTCGTCTCTTCGCTTCCATTGGCAATGCTGGAACTGCTCCCGTGTGGGCCAAATACTTTACACTGTACCCCAAGGCGTGCTATCCCGAGAAGTAGTTGTCAAGTCGTTTGGGATTCGATTCAAAAGAACTAAACTGCACACATCGGGAACATTCGATAGCGGATATTAATGGGATCCGCATACACTGCAGGTAGCAACGGCACTTGATCTGACGATAATTAGTGTGAGTACATCGGAACATATAACGACTCCGGATCTGAGGACATTACGTATTACAGCATGGACATCCAATAAGTGGAGTTCTGGCTTTCAGGACGTTTTCCACATTGCTGCCAATTTTTAAAATGAGACTTTCCTTGCAGACATATACCTCATAAACACATGGCGATCTTCTCGGCAATAATACAAGGGTGGAACTAGGATGTGCAACCGTCCCTTTGACAAAATTTGCAGTTCGATGTACAGCATTGGAGAAGAGGCTCTTAAGGAAGGCTCATATGTATAACGCGGTCGACCGATGCAGGAAGATTAAAGTAAATTTGACAATGGATTCGGAGAGAAGCCAGATTTCAGACAAACCCGATAGGTTCCGTTTGCAGTTCAGTCGTTATTAGAAGACGAACGAGAAAGATTATAGGCAAAATGCATAATATATACTGTCAAATATTTGGCTGGAGCTGTTGTAATCATGACAGTAAAGAGATCCGACATAGGAATACGATTGCATGCTGACGATTAAACTGGTCCGGGTGACTCACGTAACGCTTGTAATTACCCCTTCCGACATTAGAGCAGATTTTGTGACTCTGATTGAAGGGGATATTTTTGCAGGAGTCTATCCATCGCTGATTTATTTCCAAATTGACGCAGATGAGATATCACAGGAATGCTAACCACAAGTAGCTACAAAGATTCAGATTCACTTACCTCAACTACGGCGCAAAAACCGTCACTAATGTGGTCAGGTATGTCTTGAATATGATGTTTGAGAATGCCTTCGGTGCTGTTGCAAATCTAGGCCATATCCTGATGAGTTAGAGGAAGATTTGATCCAAATGTTGGACAAGGATGCAAATCACCTAATCGTCTGTATAGAAAAAATGGGAATCCACGCGGAATGAGATTCACTATCTATGGCCCCTAGTTGATCAGCATGGAAGCACACCTGATCAGAGAGAAACTGCATTCGGGAATATAAAAGTGTCAAAAATTGGAAGTATTTGCAATCGTTTGTAGTGTAGATTAGCTCGAACGATTCTTTTATCGCTGAGTAGCACAGTTTAAAACCCTCACATCGGAAGGAACCCTAGTGCTTCACCGCTTGTAACATGTCCAGAACCTAGAAGACCATTGTAGAAAGTATATGTGGATTATAACATCCTTTATACAATAAACTGCTGTGAGTGCTCGTCGACGAATTGCCAAAGTAAATAGACCTAATAGAAGCCAAAGGAGTAAGCGCGGGGACCATGTTCAGGCAGTTGAGTGAATCAATCGCGCGTTACGGTGTTCCTCCAGCAGTCGCGACCGACAACGGAATAGGACTTAATTCCCTTTTTTCTTTAGATTATGTCAGAAATGGGTGATTCGTCACATTACATTTCCAGCTTTCCACATCCAATTAAATGGCCAGGCGGAACGATACGTAGACACCTTTCAGAAGACGACAAATGTGCAATGGGAGATTTAGCATAGAACACATAAACACGATTGTCTATTTCGGATGGAGTACTGCCGGAGCTGACGTGGATGGCCAACACCAGCTGGGTGTTTCCTAAGTCGACACGCCGACGTAGAACTAAATCATTTATAACCAGAGGCACGAGTACCACGACTGCACAAACTAATTTGAGATGAGAGAGTGGAGAGTGCGTAGAAAAACCACAGAACCGACAAAGATCCACAAATGGACAGTGCGCAACTTCAATCTTACCAACTCAAAGAAAAGCAGTATCGATTTTACTTACTTGGCTGCGCGTTGGACTTAAACGTGCTCAAACTGTGCAATGCGGTTTTGCCTAATGAGACGGCACACGGTAATTTATATCTCCTGATTGAATTCCACTCGGAATGATGAAATATTACGTCCTCGCTGCCAGAATTTCATTGTTCGCTTGTGAACAAATCTAAGTGCAACCAACAATCTTAGTTGGGACTTTTTGAAAAACATATTAACCAGTTGTCATGTGCCGAGAAGACGTATAAAATAAGACTTAATTAGCAGAAGTACTCTTGCGAAAGTCGTTTGGCACATTGACATCAAACGTTTTCGCCTAACTTGCCCATCCATACTAAGAAACCGTGTTCACCATGGACATTTTTTTATTCAGCACAGCAAATAACACAGCAAGTAAGGGCTTTTCTATGACCAAATAGTAGGAAACTATTCATCCTCAATGTTGAGACGTTCCGTTAATCACCTTGACCTTCTGCACGTCTCGTATTCTCTTATGGATTTGGACACCAAATAAACCGTCAACCCCTGTAAAGAAACATCAAAAACATTTGAAATACTGAAGTCTGTGTATATGAGCAGTTGATTAAATTTGGCAAAGGCACCTTGCGAAGGAAAGCTGCAAGTCATATTTAGAGCGGTGAATGTGATGATAGAGATCAGAAATTTATGTACACTAAATAAACACGTGGAGTGGAATTCCAATCGCGTGGATAATATTGACTTACTAAACACAACACCCGTGAGAGTTTGCAAATACATATCTGTATTTCCTAGGTGATTTTGAACACATTAACAAACGTACTTGCATCCTTTGTGAATTTCGCCATTTTATGAATCTATTAGAAGCTGCTTGTCATCGAGGCTGATTCGGAAGGTATTAGTGAAACACGGAATTCAACTGAATTTTCATTGAATTATAGCTATTGTATGTATCCCTATCTGAAATAAGTGTCGTCATTAAATGCGGCAAAGCTGAGCCGGAAAAAAAGAAACTACATGTAGTCGTCCACAGCACCAATTTGGCAGCTCGTCAGTACCGAGAGCTGTCTGACCACAACGAATAGTTATTTTTAGTTCGGCTAGCGGAGTCCGCTGCGAAAGATAAAACTTTATTTATATGACTCGCTGGTGGTGTCAGATATGTCTTAGGAAAATATCGAAACCAAAATGCAGTCGGTGGCGGTTTGTACACGTCTTTACAGGAAAGCAAGCACATGGATCTTAACACTGTTTCTTTGAAACGAAGTGCACTATCAGGTGTTAAGCTCTATGTAGTTTAATATTATTGAAAACATTAACAGTCACATCAGTATAGCTTGCAATTGTTGTGGCAAGGATTTGTTTGTATTTGGGTAACGATGATTCATCATCGTCCAGCATAAGCATAAATGGAAACATGCTTACTCTATTTAAGGTGACGACTCAGCTAGGTCTTAAGTTTGCACAGTACCGATTGAAAGCTTTGCTGCCAACAGGTGATGTACATAAGTGCTTTTTAATAGATATACACCGAAACCTCAAACAGACATATGGACCTACCAGATGAGATCATAGGTATTATCTGCTTTCGTGGGTAAAACGTCCACACTGATGATTTGAACCCGACCCCTGAGTATGCGGTAACATTTTTTAATCGCAAATCATTAGTGTTTTTATGCTGTCATAAGGTTGCCAAATGAGGATGATGAGCAAGCAGAAAATAAGTAAAAAAAAACGAAATCAAATAGGGATTTCCGGATAAAAATAAACTTTTCTGATATTTGAAATGATTATGGCTCTTATGGTATGCTTGTATATATTAAATTAAACTCTGTTAACTAGAAACTTACGACGGCAGCACAGAAAATTGAACCCGCTATCAAAAAGACGGGCCAGCGTCTGACCAGCTGCGCTAGCGTACCTGGGAGGCATAAGAAAAATGGATAAACTTCACAGTTAGTGTAGTTTACATCTGTTTTTCCTGAAATGTTGATTTTTGTAATTTCGGCCTGAGGCAATATTCTCTTGTTACGACAGTTGGACGTTACCTGAAATAGCATTGTACTATGGATTTTGTGGATGTTATTAGTCAGTTTTAAACTCTTTGGTAGTGTTATTAATCAGAAAACGAGGTGGCGGGCATACGAAGCTTTTGATTAATTCGCTTCGGACCAGTACGCTTATAGGCGAATGGGGTGGACGTAATCACATGCCAGTGATAGGTGAAATCGATTAAAGGTCGTCTTACAACACGGGCGGGATGTGGGATTTAGGGGAACGATGTTGGAGGTAATAGCGGTCAGTGTCAGGAGTGGGGTGAGAAGGGAAGTGCGCGGAGAGTTGCAGCGTTAGTCGCCTTTCAAAATTATTAATTACGTTAAACTTCATACTGTGTTGACTCGAAAAACCATATTGTTCGTGCAACGCACTTTAAATTTTGTAATCTAATGTAAATTTTCCTAGTGTTGATGAACATTTTGATCTTTCACAATGAGAACTTAAAGGAATGTGCAGTCGTCGGATCAATAGTAGTTATTTGGCTTCAGGTTGGTATCAAAGGGTAGCATGTGTGGGTCCGTTTTATGAAAACTAGCATATGCAATAATATTCCAAATGCGAAATTCGAACAAACAGTGCTCTGTTCTGAGCTGCTATTTGGGTAACACTATAAGTTGGTTTGTCATGGGTTCTACACTGGAAGACCACATTGGGTTCACCGAGACACGCTTAACCAACGAGGGCCTTTTCTGAAAAATAAAGTTTTAAAGAGCAGATTCATTTTGAGATTTTCTGGAGGTAGTTCATGATAGGCGTATGCCAATCAAAACTCAGGGTAATGCATGCGTGTACTCATAACCAATGAGTTGTATATGAGGCAAATTATAGGAAGACTTGTAAAATTAGCGTTTTCCTATTGTTCTGGATTTCATAAAAATTCCAGACGCAAGCACATTGTCAAAAACATCCACGTATTGCACTCGATACTATTTAAAGTTAGGCGGAACACACTTCAGAAAGATGCATTTGCAGGGAGGGCATTACCTGCTTTTCTTGTTAGGTTTGTGCATTAAGCGCAGGCTAGCCGAACGTGTGTTTGTTTCTGAAGCTATCCGCTGTCGTAGCAGCGTTACTGTGGCTTCAAAGGGTTGTACATAATGTAAAATTTAGCATGCGTATTTGAAGATGACTTCAAATTGATATGAGGAATACTTATGACAACGAGTTCTCGAGACCTAGACACTTATGCAACTGCGCTCACATTTGGCAGACCAAAACACGATGCTGCATATCCCATCAAACGATATAAATTAAACCGTCGTAATTCCAAAATAGAAATTTCTCTAGCTGGGTGAGGACACTAATAACACAATGTCCGTGAATGGATAGGTATATGTAAACGAATATTGGAATCCACGGTTCTTGTTGTAAAGAAGACGAACGCACGATCACTGGGACTCAGCTTAATCGCAACAGCATCCGTCTGCCCCTACCTCTTACCTTTACCATGTTCGACTACATAAACTGTTCATTGGACGTTTCACTCTTACGGTCTCTGGTAATGGCCTCCTATGTGGGACCGAAGGCTCAGGTCAAAGTTTGTGCTGTCTCAGTGGTCGCGCGTTCATCTGCCTTACTGATAAGTATATGATCAGGCCTTTTATGCCCAAATGGTTAGTTGCCTGGTTGTTTATGCAATTGTTTCCCAATGTGAGTCTTACTCGTAATAATTAGGAGCAATATTGCCAGTCCGTTTACTTCAGAATCTTCATAACTATGCGCAGATTTATGTACATAAGGCGAAGCGGAAAGATACCTGTTTGTTGTTTTGATGTACTGGCAAGGGCGCGGGGTTGAACATGGGCGTAAACGTTGGACGGGGTAATGCTAGCATAAATATTGCCCACAGACAGGGCGTTTCGCGAATGCTCGGCATCAAAGGAGGCATCGTATTCTCCAAAGGGGTTGACAGGCACGTCGTTTGGCTTCGAGGTGGCGCGAATGGAGGTGAAATTCGAAGTCCAAGTAGTCGTGTTCCCTCGGCTATGATCAACAAGTGCTGATATAAAAGGGAAAGTAAGTTAATCGATACATGTGCGTTGGCCGCCCTGTCATAGCATGTGATTGATGGACCTTTCAGTTCGAATGGTTATGTCATTGTCCTTTAAGTAAAAAACTTGACCTTGGGCCAAAGATGCAATGTACTTTCAGAAAGACCCAAGTTACATTTCTGGTATTCCGAATAGTTTACCCGCACAAGTTGTGAAAAACCGCATGAAATATGAAGCTAAATTTTTGTCACATGTTATATGAGTTTAGTTTTGATAATAAAAATAGGAAATGGTTGACAAGAAAGCAAATTATGGACATCCCTAAGTATGAATATAGGTTGAATTTTGCATATGGAAGATTACACTTTTGTGTCTTATCCGTCATAAAAAAATTGACGTTATCGCATTACCAACTTAGCTCTTAAACATTTGACTAATCCGCCTACAGTACAGTGGCATAATTTTAACGGGACATTATTTCTTCATAAGTCAATTTTGCTATTAATTTCTTGCTGATTTTGCTCTCATATTGATTTAGCTTTCCTCGCGGAAATAGGTCCAAAGTTCTATAAACGTGGGTTACTCTTTAGTTGTGATGTTCGAGCGTTTTGAATTTTCCTTTTTATTATTACCTTTAAGATTTCTGTAGTGTATTAAGTTAGCTGGATCTCATTTCATTATTACTTAGGAGTTTTCCTTGATGCATTTGAGATGGATTATTTTTTGGGAAACCTCTTTGATATCAACAGAATTTATCCTCTTCTTCCGTGAATAATTTGCGGTTGGTTTTTGCATTCCATTGACAAGCGTTTTACTAATGTGTTTGTCTAGTATTGCACGAGTACACAGATCAAATTTTCCTGCCCTTCTCTACTTCTCAGAAAGTTGTGATCTACCGACCTTTTACTTTATTTGCCCATGCATACTAAAAATTTCTTGTTAAAATTGCTTCCCTCTCGCAAGATATCTCGTACATCCTGCTGACATTTAAAGGTCTTGAACTCTACATTGATGTCAATGATTTTTAAAAAGCATAGGACACATGCTTCCGGACTTGGGTCTTCGTTTATCACATGTTAGAAATATATCTGGAAAAATAAGGAATAATTTATACGCACTTGCATTAATCTTTTATGTTCAGATCGAGAGAAAAATTGTTAGTGTGCTTCTGGAATTACTGCTTATTTACAGATATATGTAGTCGGACGAAATCGAATTGTTTATTGAGATATTATATTTCTTTCTAGTTCCTGCTTTTCTCATAACCAAAAATGCATTTATACCACGCAAGGATTACTATTGTTAAAAAACGCAGGAAGCCTATGAACGGCCTTCATCAGCACACCCAGTGACTTGAGTCGGTCTTTCTATCCTCTTAAATATAACTTAAGAAATCATCATAATTACTTACTAGATTATTTCAAAAATGAGGCATTGCTTCTGAATATACAAATTTTAGGCGAAAAATATACTGAAAACCTACGCATAATTTTCGGACATCCGCGCAGAATGTAGATTGCGAGAAAGATATATAGGGTGCGGAGCATTTTGGACTCAGGGAGCACTTTTGGCGGGAGGAAGTTGCCAGGATTGATATAAGCGTTGATACCGAGACAAAAACACAACCGACACGCATGTAACCCTGTGATGATTGGTCCCCCAGTTTCTGCCTAGGTAATCACCACTTCCCTGATAATGGTAACGCACTTGACACAACAATAAATATGTATCCCATGGAACTGCATATGACGCCTACACCAAAAGCCGACCCCACCTTTAGCATAAGCACTGCAACCCACATCAACGCAACAGGCTCGCGAATTAATAGGCGGTCCACGGGACTCGCATGCGCTGCCTTCGCATCATTCAAATAGGCTAGGGTAAATATTAAAAAACGCAAAATGGAAAAGGGCGCTGAAGTCATATGAAAATATGCCTACAGAGGTGACGAAGACCAGAGTTCTTAGCATACATAGGATTATCCATTGAAACACTCTGTTAAGAATCCTGCAAATTAAGAGACAGATAGTTTTGTAACGATGACAGATGAAGATTCCAGCAATATATTCAAGTTATTCAGGATCAGTACGTCTCGGAGGGCCTAAACGTGGGAACATGCGACGGCAAATAGTGATTGATCCAACATCGTTTTCAGTTATTTTCGACATGTGAGAAATTACAGTATAAATCTACGGAGGTAGTTACATTGAATGAAGAAAACTGTTTTCCTCTAAATTGGTGACGTTAATGTTAAATAGACAAGTCCGGAAAGATGCGCTAAGTGTCCGAACCGCGAACGGCAATGCCAGCAGTCAATACATATATCAAGGACACTGTGAAAAGCAGTACATCGAGAGTCTGCAAAGTTTCTTTGACAGCTGACGTGTCATAACCTACGGTTGGAATTTCCTGTGGTATCAAATCCAGCATAACAACGTAGTGTGCAAACGCCTGTTACGTGAGATCGCCCCGTCATGATGAAACCTAGGTTGTTTTACATATTTGTACATACTCCTGGGGCTTTCGATCATTAATCCTACTTGATAATATACTAAAAGATGTTATGATATATGCGAGGAATCTGGCGGCACGCATACGACGGAAAAACGAATTCGAGAGGGTCACGTATGGATAACGGAGATTGTATGCATTCCGCTAGGATGTAATAAATGAAGAAGGTTTGTCGGGAAATCGAGATGAAGTCGTAAATTTTCAAGCCGGTTACACTAATCCGCTGTCAGACGAAATAAACAATGGGGACACAGATAACCGCATCAGAGATCACGGGGGACATCGAAGTTACAGAACAGACGTCCATGTGAGAAGATGAGTAACATGTTTAGATAGTTGCCGAAACTAAAGTATAAGTGTTAAGGGTTTCAGTTATGGTTCACTCGGTCGGGGAGGTGCGGAATCCGTGATATTCCATATGGCCGAACACGGACTAGCAATTGATGTCTTGAAGTTGGCGCAAGTGAATAAGATAGAACACAAACCTTCGTAGTGAGCGTTCAGGTCGACATGGTGATTGATGTTGTTGCTGCTAGAAGAGTAAGCTTCTAGAAACTTTCGCGCCGGTCTAATGCTGGCGCTGATGATAACTCCAGTCCGGTCGCTATTGGGGCGGTGGTCAAAGCCAAGAGGGTGCTTCAGTACGAGAGGCAAGAGGTGCCGTTGGCGGATGACCAACTTAAGTTCGTTAACGCGGGTCCAAAGTGGTCGGCCGACATGTCTAACATAAACAGAAGGGCATTTCGCCCATAAAACGCCAAAAATCTCGGAGGAGGCGACAGGATCGTTGGAACAAGCGATTGATTAGCCTGTCGTTTGGGATTTTTGCTGGAATCCATCAATAGAGACAGTGGAAAAGAAGGGTAGTAGATTTCCAAGGTGTTGCAATATATACGGGATGTGGTTGCTGGGCAGCTACATGCCTGTCACAATTGTCCTGTGGCAGCCCAACAATAGACAACTCTCGGTTTGCAGACAAATAGGTGCCGACAACAGTCGACTGCTGACTGAGCCGCTAAAACCGCGTTCACAGGTGTTTCTGGGTAAACAATGTAAGGACAATAGTGGGCGCGAAAACATCAAGGATTTGATGGACCGAGTTGTGCGAAAAATTAAATCATAGAGCACGTTGTTGGTTGCAAATCAAAACGTGTGCTTTCCAAATTAAAAGGCATTCAAGTAGTTTGGATAGGCGTTGAGATCTATGATAACAATAATTCGAAAGTATCCTTTTTCGGCACGCGGGTTAGCTGTTGACTGTTATTAAAATGACATGCAGCACTCTCGTAATAGACTCTCAGAGCGCACTAAGCAAAGCGACTGTGCAGTCCCTGGAGATTTTCGGCCGTTCTTTATGATGGTCCCCCACCAGCACAACGTAGAACATAGGCCGGCACACAGTACGAGTTTGTAAATGTCAGTGTTTCACAATTCTGTTTGCCGTTGTGCGCTCGTCATAAAATGCGCCTGATGCATAAAGCCGCCGCCCAATTCATCAGACTGGTAGGGTAAATGCGCTCGGTCTGACAGCCTGGAACGTTCGATCCCTTTAAGAGCACCCAAGTAGCAACCGACTTGAACGGAGGATGGCGCAAGAACTTCGGAAGTCGGCGCACTACAAGGTGGACATCGATGCATTCAGATCCCTGGGTCTCCGAACAAGGCTAACCACAGGAGTTTTATGCTGGCTACACCTTATCTGGAGCGGTCGTCCAAAGGCAGAGCGAGGGGACGCGGATGACGCCTTTGACAGCCGAAACGGCATCGTGGGACGACTGCAGTGTCTGCCGCAGGGCATCAGCGATCGTCTAATGAGCCTACGTCTGCCTCTACGGGGAGGCAAATTCGCCATCACCATCAACGTCTACGCCCCGTCGATGACCCACCGTGACGGCGCAAGGGTCAAATTCTACGAGGACCTGCACGAACTCCTACCGATTACGTCGAAGGCCGATAATTTAATCGTACTCTCTGACTTCAACGTCCTCGTCGGCACACACCGTGCTGCCCGGAAAGGAGTGCTGAACCTTTCATGACCTTTATGGCTAAAATGACAATGGCCTTCTACTTATACGAACCTGCGCAGAAAATCGGCACATCCTGACGAACACATTCCACTGCCTTCCGACGCGAGAAAAGGCCACCTGAATGCATCCTCGGTCGTACCAGTGGCATCTGCTGGACTATGTTCTCGTCCGGATGCAAGAACAGAGGGAAGTGCCGGCGAGGAAAGCGATCCCGTGTGCCGACGACTGAACAAATTATTGTCTCGTCATCTCGCAGTTGCGGCTTCGTCGACAGCCTCGCAGGAGCTCCCAAGATATGTGATCTCCAGGTAACCTGAATATTGCTTTGCTGCCTTTGCCTGCTCACCATCTCAATTTAGCGATGGATTGGCTCAACAGTTAGACAACCTATTAGTCTCCGATGCCACCACAGTCGCCGCCAACGAGAACGCCTCCGTGAAGAACCAGTGATGCCAACTGCGGAACATAGTTCAGTCGACGGCGGGCACGTCGCCAGCACCAGGACTGGTTTGATTAAAACAACGCCGCCATCAACAACCTGTTCGGCGAGGATAGCCGGTTGCACATAGCCTACATCGACCGTCCACGGACGACAACAACGCATCCTTTTACCGTAGTCGCCGCCTTGTACAACAGCGTCTGGTGAGATTCAGGATGCTTGGACGGCGCGGGAAGCCGAAAATATATACGGATATGTGGTCCGCAACGAATGGAAGAACCTCTTCACCACGATCACTATCGTCTACAGTGGGCCAACCGAAGGAACTACATCTCTTGTCAGCGCGACGGCAGCACCCTACATAATAAGAAGACAAATTCTGCACTGATTGGTCAGACTCTTCAGGGTCATCCTCAATTGTCCCTCCACCATCTCCGACGCCGCCATCACCCACCTGCCCATGTGGAGACCAACGCAAACCTGCTGGAAATCACTCGGATCAGGCACGACCCCTGCCGAGATCTACAGGCACGGTGGCCCCAACTCATGGAAAATCTGACGACACATTTCTAGGAGATGCGGCCTCAAGGGAAACCCCACAGAACTTCAAGGACACGAAAATCCTGCAAGTATACAAACGGTAAACAAATCATCAGGTCTGTGACAACCACCTATGCATTTCCTTGTTGAAGATCGTCGTGAAAATTCTTGCTCACATCCTTCTGAACCGCGTGAGTAGTCACCTGGAACAAGGTCTTCTGCCAAAAAACCAGTGTGGCTACCTCTGTGGAACCACGGACATGATCCTTGTCACCGGTCCACTTCAGGAAGGTGTCAGGGGATGCGGGCCCACCTGTACTCTACTTACGTGGGTCTGACGAAAGCCTTCGACAAGGTGAAGCGTGATGGAATGTGGAAATTCATGCAGGTAAGCTACATATTATACTACGTGGTATGGCTCAAGGCGAAGTGGCCCGTTGTGGCCGAATAAACAATATACTAGAAGAAATGCGAACCGCAGATTCTCATATGGCTCTCAAAACCTAGCGGACAGAGCAGTGAGATATCGTCCACATCACCATGGTGGCCGTTCTCGGCCATACACGTTCAGCAACAGGAGTGATCCGATTAGGAGGAGGAATGTATTCCAAATCAGTTTTCCGTAAAACATATGCAGCACACTCAATACACCACCAACAACAACAAAACGGGAAAGTGTTTCATACTATTAAAGTGGACGACTAATGCAGCACTGGCCGAGGGAGATGCATAAATGCTGACTGATTCGTAATGCTGACGAATTCCTGGAATATGACAATCGTAATGAGGTGAATAATTTTCTCTCGATTGTCAGGCCAGTCAACCGTCAAAAAGGCAAACAGACTGTGCATTTCACTTAATCCAGGTGGGCTTCAAGGGTACCGATTACGAGATGTGGAATGACGCACTTCCAGGGGACCCAAACACGCCTGCTCATACTTTGCTAAGAATTCATCGGCCGATTTCCCACAGTGGATACCAACGGCGACTTCAATTGACTTCATTCTCCCCTGAGGTAACCATCGCAGTGCAACAGCCCGGTATGTGAAAATCGCCGAGAGTAGTCGATGTCCGCAAGTCATCTGGTCACATTTTGTAGGCCTCTTTCAGTTCTGTTCTAGAAAATGTTAACACAAGGACAATTCTCACAGGATTTCAAGGAAGTCATCATTTTGCACATATGCAATCTTAAAAGGAAGTGACAACTGTATACTATTCACAGAGGCATGTCCTTCTCAACAACATCGAAAAACTCTTCAGTAGTGTCCTACCCTTACGAACAAACAAGAAAATGTAGCAATGACGCCCTAGAGAAACGCAAAGAGTATTCTAAAAACATCACAGGACTATAGGCATGATCTACGTGTGCCGCCAACTGCAGGGGAAACAGCAGTCAGAAAACTGAGTCTAACCTCAACACATTGTCCGTGGATCTATCGGTGGCCATTGACACCAGGAATCGCCACGTACTCAGGAGCGGCATGCCAACATTCGGATGTTATGAGCAATGAACTAAAATTGTACGTGATCTGAAAAAGGGCATTACTGTTCACGTTACTTAGAAGAGGGTAGTCTCAGAAGCATTATCTGCGGGGAAATGGATGAAACACAATTTCGAAAGCATAGATAGCAGCAGAGCTACGGCTAACTTATGTTAGCTACATGCGATATAGCCTTTTTATCCAAACTTTGAAATTTTGGTGTTTTTACGCAGTGTAAGTATCCGTACTGTTCGAGCCTATAGTACTAGCTTGAAGGAGTTGAAAGCAATATGCGTATTCCGTTTTAGAGTTTGTTCGCTATCTAGGAGATCCCCCATCAATTTTGCTTCGCATTATCCCGGTTTCTTAACACTCGAGCAGCACTCCGGTTGAAGAAATGCGTTGTCTACTAGTGGCACCAATATGAAGCGGGAGGGAGGGTCACACGGGAAAACGAGCGCAACCGTTGCTCTACCTGCTGACTACCCGGCGCAGAAAGCTTATGCCAAACATGCCGAAAGCTCTCTCAAATGCCGTAAAGACCGCTGAGAGCACTATGGCAGGGCGACCGTGAATGGTAATTTAACAAGTTTGTCTGCAATCACTGCTCTTCCGTTATGGTCTTATGTCAAATGGATATAGACGACAACGTCAAGTGAACAGACGGAACGGCTGCAGTCGACTAGCCTATGGTCAAAATCCTCAAAAACCCTCATGAGGGCGGCTAGGTCACACATGATCTTAGGTGAACCAACCGAAGTACTCTTAAGTAAGCTGTGAAGAGTAGTTCAATTAGCAAGGCGTCCGAGTTCAAAAAAATGAAAAGAGTTTGAAGGGAGCAGTGGGTTAAGGCACTGGTCATTCTTAATGGCTTTTGATTTCATTTTTAACACGAACCAATCTCTTTGACCTTAACATTAAGAAATTGCCTCGTGAAACCCCAGGATGGCCATCGACATCCAGCCTATCAAACATTGACTTGAGAAGAATTCAATCTAAGTGAATAACCGCTCTAATGTGCCAATACCCTACTTTGGTTTCATCTGTACAGGGATCATACATCAGCGCTGTATGACGACGATTACTTTAATTTAGTAAAATAACGAGAAGTAGCCCAGGGACACTTAGGCAGAGAAATGTGTCTCCCTAACTCGAAACGTCGCTACTGAGAACCTTAACAACCACGGCCAAATAAATGACTAGTGTCTCCAAATGAGTCTTAACTCGGGTCACTCAGTGTATTGAGGAAAATTAATCGAAGAAGGCGTCATGTAGGCAATTAAATCCAACTGCGTTTGTAAACAAAAAGTAAAATTCGAGAAACTAGTTTCCAAGGGTGTATGAATTCCAAACGTACGAAAACCCTTCCGTAGGCAAAGTTTTTCGTTTAATGCATTAGGTTGAACGGTGAATATTTTATTGGACGATTGCAAAAAAGGTGATTTGTTGGGGTTATATTGAGCAACATTTTTTCCATCAACATAACATTGCTTATGATCGACTGCAACTTAGAGCATTCCGCAGCATAAACTCGAGATACGCCAGGCTGCTGACTTTGAAATACCTTTCTTTTTGGCGAGCCGCAGAAACCACACTTGATTAAAAATGACTGTTCAATAAGTACAGTTAAATTCTACTTATTTTGGAAGCCAATATAAAGTTAGCTATAGAATACACGCCACAGAATGTACTTTCGTGTACTCCTTTCGGTAAAAAATCATATTTTTCTCTAATTTTATCCTTAAAACTAGGGCCTATTTTAGTATTAAGTTGTTTTTAATACACAGATTATTTTTGACGCGATTTCCCTTTGCTTGCGGACCTACGGTTTTCTGTCTACGACCCGACATACTTGGTGTTTATGCAACTATCAGTAAAAACAAAAGAAAAATCTCATCATATACACAATTCAAAGATTTGCAACACCGTGAGAAATTAAAGGAGTGTTCTGAGGTATATATTCCGCAACAGCTGTTTTTATCTATTTGGGCATCGAAAATCGTTAAAAACTATTAATTAGGCAGTCATTTTTAATAGGTCGATTTTTCGATTTTCAACGTGACAGGATTATTAGACAACACGGTCGTGATCCAGCTAAGCAAAAAGTATTTTGGAAATACCTAGGCGGCCGGAATTAAAATTCTCGTAGTCGGTGAAGCAATTAAGAGGCCTTTTTTGCTTGAAACACGCGAATTATTTACAATGCTACATCAACAACCCTGCATCTCTCCGTCCTATGATAAAGTCTAGCATATGCTTGTCGAGTTCAGATCCAGTTCTTCGCTACAACAGCTATGATTAAGTGTTCTATGCGTCCGTACCACTTCATATTTTGGGAGATCAATGCCAACACAACATACACCGATGTGGGTAGCTAGGCTTCGAGGAAAAATGGCTTTGCTTGAAAAGACACAATAATGAGGCAGAGGGTTTGCATACCACTTGAAATATTTCAGTAGCACTACTTTGCTGTATTATTGACTATAAGAAATAAGAATTTCAGTGTCGATGCTCCAAGGAGAAGAGCTCTCAAAATTTATCCTGACACA